GTGCGTGCGTGCGTGCGTGCGTGTGTGTGTTCATTTGTGTTTACATTGTGTATTACAAGATTTCGAGCATTCAGTCGTACATATAGATCACAAGCGTGTTTTGTGAAAACCCCATTTCTACTCCGTAGAAAAAGACAAGGAAAACAGAGGCTGAAATGATGCTCGCCAAAGGAAAAAAAAATTTTCAAGCATACGCACACACGATGCGGAAAAGCAACAAGAAGCAAAAATGTAGATATCGAGGGGCTTATTTTCACTAACTTCTACTGATTTCTCGCACTATTTTTGCTATTTATGCTCGTTGATTTGCGCTTACTTCGCGTTGAGTTCGTTTCTTAAACTCATCGATGCACACCGTGATTAAACAGTGAAATCCCTTTGGTAGATATCTAAAAATATTTTCTAAAAATATTTTCGTTAACTGGGTCGTCAAAATAATTATGTAAAAAATTCTAGTATGATGAGCAATAAGTACTGCAGAAAGTTTTGACATTAGTAACCAACTTGAACGTCTTACATCAGCCCGAGAGCTATAATTCTGGACATTGATTTTAAATGTATCTACGTCTATTGTTCTATCTCTATTAAGTTTATGCTTCAAAATTCACTGTTAGTACTGAGACTATATAGTACTGAGACTATGTTACATAAACTTTAGATTTTCGGCGCTGGCAAATTTTGAACATTATCTAAGTAAAAGAAAGATAATAAGCGTAAATATATTTAGAAATTACATTTTAGACAGCACCGTTCTATATAATTATTTTTGCTAATCCAACACTTATTTCCAGATTTGTGTTTAATTAAATTTTTTTACGTACTGTCTTTCCTGAGCAAAATCTGCTTTCTGTGTTGTTACCGAACAATTCGTTTATCGCGGATGCATGAGAGCGCTTAATACTGTAATAAGATCTCGTTGTTCGTTCACTAACAAGGATGAATTTCCTGTTAATACATTTTTTTCGTATTTGATATCTGAAGTGTGAGCATACGCTAAACTAATTAATAATTTGGAGCACATAATAAGCACCGATAAAATATAGTTTTCTTTTGAGTTTTTTTTTTTAAATAATACACTCTACAATTGGCACCTATCATTAGGGCTATCTAATGAAAAGAATAATGAAGATAACAACAATTGGAACAATCAACAACGACAATTTACTATACGCGCGCACGCAGGCACGCACGCACGTATTTAAAAATCTTTTGTCTAAAAGATTTTAAGAAGTGATTTCTCATACAAATTCAAGATAAAAACATGAACATACGACTATATGCTCCAAAACAGTTTAATTTCAATTCATTAAAGACACATGTCTATTTTTTATTTCTGCACTCTCTGAACACTCGTGCACACGGTGTAATAAGTTAAAGTGAAACAAATATATATTTATTTCATTTCAACTTATTACACAATGTGCACCAGTTCAAAGAATGCAGAAATAAAAAACAGAGCAATTGTGTTAAAATTGAAAAAATTTTCAATTCAATTTTTCGTTTTTTACAAAAATTTCGAAAATCATTTGATTTATTTCAATGAAACTTTGTATATATTTGAAGGACACGAAGCTTATATCTTTTTTGAGACTATACATTATTTTTTTATTTACTCAAACGGACCCAAGAGTAAGCGGGTACACTTTCTTACAAAAAAAATTTATACGTTACTGATTTTTCTAAGTTTACAATTTTTTATGATAAATGGGATAAATCAACAGAAAAAGTGCTTTTTAATATTTTCAATATAATAAACCACTGTTATTATCTATAACTAATCAAATAAAACGATTTTGCAATGTACGCACTTAAATTTATTTTTTTCTCGGAAATAATTCATTCCATCGAAAATATTAAAGAGACTAATTTTCTGCTAATTCATCTCAGTTAATAATATAAAAAATTTCAAACATAAGAAAAATTAGTAACATATCAATTTTTTTCGTAAAAAAGGATACTCGCTAGTCTTTGAGTCCGTGTGTGTTCCCCCCCCCCCTGATTTAATAAAAAAAAATAATATATAACCTGGAAAGATAAAACTTGATATGTTTCAAACACGAACAAAGTTTTATTAAAATAGCCTAAATGATTTTCGAAATTTTTGAGAAAGTCAAATTTTTTTTATCATATGTGAAGTTTTTGTGTTGAATTTGTGTGGAAAATCACTCTTTAAAATTTTGTAGAGTGTTATGTATACAGGGTATCTAGTAAGTTCTGACAAAGTGCTCTTGTGTAAATAGAGCGGACTAAACTGAATCGGAAAGTCCTTTATCATTTTGTAATTTTCACAATAATGAACAAGATATTATTTTCTAAAGATTATAGAATAAGTCAAGTAAAATGGATGCATAAGACAACTTTAAGATTTCTTTCAGACTTTTTTATAAAGTATTATATCTTAAAGATGTTCTTTAGAAAATTTTTAAAGATATTTTAAAGTTATTTTATGCATCCATTTTAGACATTCTCCTCATTGGGAAACTAAAAAAAAATTGCAAAATGATAAGAGGACTTTTTGTCTCAGTCCGTTCTATTTATACACGAGCGTTTTGTAACTTACCAGTCATATTTGCTTGTATACACACGCACACACACGCGCGCGCGCGCGCGCGTGCACGCACGCATACACGTCGCAAAATTTGAGCAAATATTTTTAATATCTTTAAATAATGGTGTGCGTGCGTGCGCGCGCGCGCGCGCGTGTGTGTGTGTGTGTGTGTGTGTGTGTGCGCGCGCGCGAGCGCGTGTGTGTGTGGGGGTGAGTGGGGGAGGGGGGCAATCGCGAGCGCGAACCCGGGCGGACGTGTTTCGTCTCAGGTTAGGTGTTGCATATACCAAATTTTTGTTAGCTAGGTTAGGGTATAAGCACAAGAATTGTCGTAACACTTACTTAGAGACTTACTTTGTAGACGTAAATAACGCACAAGCTTTGGTGTATGACGTACGATTTATTGCCATCTCTTGGAGACACAATAAGTTATACGTCACACGTGAAAACTTACGTCTACATTTAAGTCTAAGTAAGTGTTACGACAATTCTTGTGCTCAGATCCTTAGCTCGTCGAGCTTCTTCGTGCTTTCGATCCCCTCTCTTAGAGATACACTTTGTACGTGAAGCGAGAGAGAACGCGAGTGGACTAAGTGAGTGCGTCCTTTTCTACATGAAAATTACTCCCATTCCTCGAATGCTCGGAGAGATTACTAGAGATACTATGTCTATGGCCAAACCCAGCACATACTGTAGAAAAGTATATGGATGCTGAGTCTATCTTATATGTCTATGGGTGAAGCATTCCGAAGGATGCGCAGTAGAATAGTTGCGGCTTGGCCAGTCAAACCATGGCCACAAATCTCCCCTCTTGTTCCGAATTAACAGCATTTGTAGCCACCTCATAGCTATGACAATCGGAAATAACTAATATTCAATATGACTGTCATCGTTTCCGGCTGGAATTTTTATTATCATATTAAGCATATGGCTGCGTTCATTATGGACACTCACGCGCTTTAAGTGCTTATAATCATTATTCTATCTTTATCAAGCGCTGAATTTTCAATAAAGACAAAATTTACTTTATCGAAAATTCAGCTGAAAGCGCTTGATAACGAGAATAATGATTATAAACGCTTAAAGCGCATGAGCGTCTATACTGAAAGCAGAATATACAGGGTAGCATGAATATACGGTCCCACCCGTAGGGGTGGGATGGGACCCCATCCTGAGCAGGTAGAGTGGATTAAACTGACTAGAAAAGTCATTTATCATTTTGCAATGCTCGCAATAATTAACGAAATATTAAAGTTTAAAGATAATAGTAGGTGGGCCGTACCTTCAACAATAGTAGGTCGGATGCGCCTACTATTGTCGAAGGTACGGCCCACCGAGCGCATGACACGCGGGCTGCAAGGAGCGAGAATGGCCTAGCAGGTGCGCCGCGTCGTTCGAGTTTAGAGGTCGTCCCTGCTCGGGACGAATGGGGCCGTATATTGATGCCACCCTGTATATATATATATAAAATATTGTAACACTATAACTTTAATATTTCCTTTTTTTCACAAATTCACATTTTATTTTTTAAATAATATAATATACATTATAAATGCAACTTTGTCTTGTCACATCTGCCGTGGCTATTTATAAATTAAGACGCTGCAAAGTGAACATGTGGGCTCGCTATGGCAGTTGTGTAATACTTTGTGGTCACAGAGATGTTCGCACGAACACGGTCGATTGCAAGTGGGTCTTCATACCATATACAATAGTATCGGCAGATAAATCTCATACTATATAGTATCGGCACCTCGGCGCTGTATTCACACTACAATTCTTCAAGCTGCTCTCCAAGCAAGACGAATATTTCTTCCTAAGGAGAGAACAAATTTCACTTTATATTGTCCAATTTCAATCATAGATACAATTATGTACTTTACCCACGTGACATCTTTCCTGCTTTCGGCATTTGTGCCGACCACAGCTTAAAGTCTTTGAATATAGTAATAGACAGATGTGTTCGATGTCGATGCAGCACAGCTGATTATAATTGTGTTTACTGCAGGTTCTCTTCTTCTTGCAATGCTTCTCAGAGCGCGCATCATCGGTCTTACTTGTCAAGTCCTTGCAAGCGATCTTGCGGTCCATGTTACCACAACGGCACTTGACATCAATGTTCAAGTCACATTCCGGGCATTCCCTCACGTGACATGGAGCCTTGCAGATATACGGATTATTTACGTGAATAAATAAAAATTTGACTTAGCGCGTCTGTATGATGATAAGACGCAAAGCTCGATTAAAAATACGAAGCCTTACTAGGTTGGTCGCATTTCAAGTGCTTTGCGCAGGTCAGCACAGGATTCATACAACTTTCTCTCTTTTCCATTAATAGTATATTTGACTACATTGTGACTCTTTCAGGCGTCAAAGAACAGGACTCGCAGGATCTCGGATGACAGATCTTCGGACAATGTTTCTTGCAGTTTAACGTTTTATTACAAATATCACAGCAAAATATATCTGCGACATTGACGTAGCAAATATGGTGCCAATATGATGCAAATGCCGATCGGAATGTGTTGGAAACGATGCGCAATATTAAATATTAGTTCCTCATTTCCGGTTGTCATAACCATGAGAGCGCCACAAATGCTGATAACGCAAAAACCATGGCCCTGAGTCAGACGCAATCGGCAATGCAAAAAATAATCATGTAGCGAAATGTCGTTTTCAAACGTATAATTTAATAAATTATTTATTTAATTAACAATTTATTTAATTAAAATATGATCTTTTCAATTCATATCACATAAATCTGTTTTAAAATCAGCGACATGTTTGTCAACGATTCATGTCCATTCTTGATTTCTGTCATATACATTTCTGTTATGGTCAACATGGTCTTAAAATGCCATGCAATGCCAATAGCGTTTGATTGGTCGAAATTCGTCTCATCCATATCCCATTATACGCAATGCTTCATCTTTCTGACTCCGTCATAGCAAGAAGAATCAACAGTAAAACTGCTGACTATTGTATTTAATTGTTTGTTTTTTTCGTATTGTACAATACAGAATATATATATATATATATATATCAAATAATGGAAATAATATCAAAATAACGTTTCATTAGTCAGAGAAAGCAAAACAGCTCAATTGGAGCGTTCGGTTATTGGATCCAATTCCGGTTCTACTGTTAAAGGTGTCCGTTCAGGGTTTTTAGATTTCCTCTTTTTATTATCATTTATAGCAGAAGTCGGAGGTAGTCATGTATAATACGAGCAGATTTTCGAGTATAAAAATAATAATTATATAATAATTATAATAATTATAGCGATCTTATGAATATCGTATATAAATTAGATACTATGTGTAAGAAAAAATTACGCGCGCGCGTGTGTGTGTGTGTGTGTGTGTGTGTGTGTGTGTATGCATAATTTATAATAAAATAACTGAACTTTTATACATATGTATACAATCCAAACTTCAATATACAATCTAATGATTTCATCTTTCCTCCTATTCTTCAATAATTATTTTACATTATTATTACATGAATTCAGTAACTATTATCAATTTAGAATATGGAAATATTCTTATTTGATATTAGTTAATTATTTTTATGTTCGACTCCACGAAAATCTTTTTATATAATAAATGACTACTTATATTCGATTTCAGAGTTATTATATGCAGCAATAACGTCTCTCTTGTAATAATTAATAAAAGTTTAAATTCGAATACAGGTAATCAATATGTTCAATCTATTTACAAACTGTGCATAAATGCGTGTATTTTACTCTTACATCGAAATTTTTATTTCACTTATCATTTCTTCCGTCTCGATAAAATAAAATGTTGATGTTTTGAAAAGTTATGAAAATTTTTTTAATTTTTAATAAACCATATCACTTATCTTATTATTTTATGGTGAATGAAATGGTGAGATCAGGTCGTCACGAAAGCTAATGTTGATTAGCTTACGCGAGTTACATTAAATGATTACTATAAACTTTCGCGGTTTATACTTTATTCGCTTGTTTCACTATATATATATTTACATCCGTTATTTCTATAGAACTGATTGCACTAACGTCAGTTACCGCTCTACATGGCTAATCAAATTCTCTATTTTTGGCTATATTACAGCTCTAACATGCGGATATCTAAAAAGGAATCTTTAACATTCAACTAGAAATATTTAAGAAGCAGGGTTGGCAAGTAACGTTATTTGTAACGTCGTTATCGTAAAAGTTACTTTTTTCAGTAACGAATGGGTAACGACGTTACATTTTCTTTTGAGTAACGTTCATTGTAACGCAGTTACATTTTTGGGGTAATGATAACGATTTCACTAGTTACTTTTATCGTTACTTTATTTCTAACAACTGCCACAAAGTTTCAGTCATAACTAAACCGTGTATATATATTTTATATATATATATATGTATATATATGTATATATATATATATATATTTAAGTTTTTGAGCTTTATTCCTCTACCAAAAGATAGAATTCCGACTTCTCTTCAGAATATTTATCGCAAATATCTGCATATAGTAGCGTTTTTACATGTTATACTAAATACTGTGAAGATACTTAATGAGACATTATAATCCAAGTAAAAAATACTTATTAGAAATATTTATTTATATTTATCATAAATAAATACATACAATATTTAGTTTAATAATATTTCGAATAGAACTTTATATAAAATATGTATGAAATATCTATATAATATTTCACAAAATGAATATTAATAAACATTTATCATAAATATTCTGTGCTGTCTGAGTAGTGCAATTTAAATCCGTACACACAAATCGACGCAATGTGTATGTTTAATAAAAATGTAGAAACGTGACAAACCGCGAAAAAAATCTTCAATACATTTTATTATGCTATTTGATAAAATAGCATAGCAAAATGTATTGAAAATTTTTAAATTAGATAAAATACCCTTTGGACATTATATCAATTAAGATATTTCATTTTTATATTCAGATTAGAATAGTGTACAACAGCTTTAATGTGCACTGAGTTTTGCCAATGAAAAACACTATAATATATTTTTGTTAGCATCAAGCAAAAAAAGTAATGAAAAAGTAACAACTCTTTACATTTTGAATATCGGTAACGATAACGAGTTACTTTTGCAAATCAATAACGAGTAACAATAAAGAGTTATTTTTATGGGTAACGTTACTTTTGAGGAAAAAGAACAATAACGATAACGAGTTATTTTTATGGAATAACGTTGCCAACCCTATTAAAAAGCAACCCCTGGATATCTGAAAAAGAATTTCTAAGATTCAACAAGAGATAATCAACTGAAGTACAACATGTTATTGCAAATAGTATGCCAGATGAATACATCCAATATTTGAATAAATTAATAAAAAATGAATGAAAATACCTATTCAATACACTTCTTTATGTTAAAAAATTAATACTTTTCCATTCCATTTGAATGAATATTTTTTGAGATTATAAATATTTTTGTTTTCACATTTATATCTACTCTATATTGTCTGCACATAATTTGCAAGCCCGCAAAAGAAAACAATGTAAAAACAATGAAGCCGGTAGAAACATCCTCCACCAATGCCAGATGGCAGACTAATGACGCGACATACAGTTAAACAAATTGAGGATAAAAATGATATATCATCTCAAATAAAAACTCATACAAAATTATATGTTATACATATTATTTCAAATAAAGACTTATGTAAAATTATATGTCATATTAAATAGATTGTACTTATAAGTAAAAAATGTATTGCTTTCTAAATATTTTTTCCAATTTCTCAGTTTTTTTTATCAAATCTAAATAATATTACGACAAAAATAAATAAAATTCTTTTTAAACAATAAATAAAAATATTCAAGCCTGTAACGGTCAAAGTTAGATTTTTAATGCTTAAATAATTCAATGTGAATTATATACAGGGTTGGCCATATTCGACGGAAAGATCTGGCAACATTGTAACTTTTGACAGAGATGTTAGATCGAGTAACGACGTAGCGCGATGATTGAAAAAAAAAACATCTTTCCGTCGAATATGGCCAACCCTGTATATGTATATACTATCATCTACATGCATATATACCATATTTTTAACTATTCAAACTGCACGAATTAGTTTTCCGGACTTATAAACATTAAACTACTGGAATAATATCACAAATTAAATTAAATTGACAAGCAAATTTTAATATTAGGTGCGCAACTAAGTTATCGCTGTTATTTTGATGCATTTTCATCAAAATAACAGCGAGAACTTAGTTGCGCACTTAATAATTTTGATGTTCAATCCGGTATCATATTAGAAAGATGTTAATATGCTGAAAAACTGTAAATAAATTTATTCGCGAAAAATATTACTTCGGCCGAGAATCGAAACCAGATCTTTTGAGCGTCCTAAGACAGACTACTGAGGTTCCATTCATCATTTTTTTAACTCAAAATCATCAAAGTGCTGGTTATAATTAAAGAGTAATGATTGCTTATTGGAATTTTCTTTTTCAATTTATATTTTGTTTGAATACTTAAATGAATATAAATACTCATTAAATAATAATAGTTTTTTTGTGAATAAATATATAAGCCGATAAAATTTAGTGAGGGATTTTTGTATTTTTGAACTTTAAAAGATGTTTTCGTAGGATTTTGTTGCGCTGCCGCAACAAACGATTACGTCATTCGTTTTTTCCATCATTCCCCATTTTTTAAATAATCTCGAAAAAATGTTTTTAAGATAAATTATTTTATTAATTTTTTCTGACTAAACAAAAAATGATATCAAGGTCTATTTTGTGGCATTTTACTCAAAAATGTTCTAACAATACGAAAAATATTTTTTCAATACTTATAAAAATGTTTTATGAAAACCGCAAACAAAAAACTTTGAAAAAATTATTTAAAAAACCGGAAAAAATTGACAAATTTTGAAATATATAATCAAATAATTTGAAAAAAAAGAATCGTAAAAAACATCTGACAATTTATACTTGTAACTGTATGTTTCTAATTTAAATTCTTTTTTTTGAAAAACTAATTTCTGACTACTTGTTCAGAAATTATTGAATTTAAAGCGCAAAGCAGCCCGCGCGTCACCTACGATGCGCGATATTCTTTCGAGTCTGACACGTAATACAGAAGCATGTGTGTAGTCTTTTTTGGTCACTGATTTCTAATCTGAAGTAGAAAATATGCAATTTAAAATGGCGGATCCAATATGGAGAACAAGAATTTTTAAAAATCAATAGTAAATTTTCAAAAATTATGATTATAGTAGTAATCAGGGACTTACAAAATCACCAAATATTGATTTTCATATAAATCGTACGGATTTAAAAAAATTTTGTTCTCTGTATTGGATCCACACCATTTTGAATTGCACATTTTTTACTTCAAATTTGAAATCAGTAATCAAAAAAGACTACACACTATGCTCCTGTATTCGGTGATAATATATGTCAGATTCGAGAGAATATCGCGCATCGTAGATGATGCGCAGGCTACTTTGCGCTTTAAATTTAATAACTTCTGAACAAATGATCGGAATTAGTTTTTCAAAAAAGGATTTAAACTTAGAAATATACACCAAGTATAAATTGTCAGATATTTTTTACGATTTTTTTCTTTCAAATTATTTAGTTTTATATTTCAAAATTTGTCAATTTTTTCCGATTTTTAATGATTTTTCCAAAACTTTTTGTTTGCAATTTGCATAAAACATTTTTACAAGCATCGAA